GTTTAGCAATTGAATCGTCATTTTTCACTGTTCGAATAGATGGAACTGTGGTACCTTGGGCAGCCTTCTACATTCATGTTTGAGCTGTCTTTGGAGAACACGTTTACTTGGTACACGCCTACCGAAATGCCCGTACACAACTTTCTGCGCATGCACACAAAAGCCACAGATCTCTTCGGGTGTCAGAGATTCCAGTATCCTCACCTGCAACAATCGATTTATCCAGCTCGTCATCTAAGCTCCCCCAGTGCTATTCCAGGTCAGCATGTGAAATTCTCATTTCGACAGCACATTACTCTATTTGGCTTGCTGAAACCTCGAAAAAGTTTCGAGTCAAAATTCTGCTCTAGCCTTATCATCAGCCGCACTGTTTTAAGATTCTTATCATAGCGTTTGATTGACTGGAATTGGCAGCTTTTGCAGCTGGCTTCAGGCGATTGCAAATTTCTTCACTTGAAAATGTTTACTTTTGAAAATAAATAAATACAAAGAATACATGTATGGAATGTGAATGAACGTCAATCATTTGCGTGTTGAAGGCAATGATTCAATTCAAGGTGCTATTCGCTCTTACCTGTACAACAACAATCAGCACGATTGCAACACCCAATATTCTTCTCATTCACAGTGATCACAGCCTGAAAAAGAAATTCTCACTACGATTCAAATGAATTTGCTCTCTCAAACATGCTTCGTCTTAACAATTTTCACAATTATCAGCAAATAAATTGCATATAATACCATTTCATCGAATCATCATAACGTATGAACAGACATTTTAGAATAATGTTATGGCATAGAATTTAACTATGGACAGCAATTCTTCCAGCAAATCATGACAAATCATTCTTGTAACCATATGATAACCAGAGGTGGAAGTTTTTGAATTTCGAAACGATGCTTCAGAAGAAGTGGTCATAAATCGTAGATATCATGCACAGCATGCTGATTAAATTTTATTACACCAACAATAGATATCGAAAGTGTGGCAATGCCACCGCTCGGATGAACGTCTCCCTTTTTCTCGTTATGAATGGGCCACAATGAAGTGAATGCTGCTCGACGAAATCGTGATATTTCAACGAAAAATGAATATGGCATCAACGCAGCAAACAAACAGGTATCGAAACCATGTGACGAACTGCACTGTATTACCGTGAATTTCACTCAATTCATGTCTGTCAAGTTTTCGAATCGAAAATAAACACTGAGCANCACATTTTGGATCACTTCTCCAAAGATTGCTCGGATTAACTGCTTCAGTGAAATTTACCTTTGAGGCAAACTTTTCGTATGGTACAACGTGAGCTGCTGGAAAACTTAATCAAACGGTTTCAAAATTACGTGATAAACAGTTGGTGAGAGGTTGCGTGATGTAATGGGCGAAACTGAAAAATGACAAATGATTAAACCTTGGGCACTGAATGGAAATGACTACTTCGAATAGCCATTGTCGAAAGAAAATGAAAGCGAGTGAATGAAACGGGATTTGCTGCGTGATGGTACTGATTTGAAAGCATTACACAACTGAGTGGAAGAGTTTTGTGGTGGTCAGAAACTTTTAGAAAATAATCCCGAAATGACTCAATTAACAAGAAAGACAAAATGAACGATCGATGTTCATTAGGAAGTGAGCAAATATTTTGATTCGTATTATTGACACAGGTGTTGTTATTGCCGTAAATGGCTAATTGTTCGCTGGAAATTGGTGGTTGTGCTGATTGAATGTGGCACTTTCAGATATTTCCACACAATATTTCCGGAGCAATAAAAACAAAAACAGATAAAAAGGCGGAAGTGTTCTTTCTCATCGCTACAATATTCCCCTCAACTAATGCGAATGAATCAGTCAATGTTCAGTTTCGTTCATAACAAACATTACTTGATCAACATTCACCAGTTGATCATTCCTGTCTGTGAAATAGAAAAAAGTTAGAAATTGAAATGAACTTTCATAAGATGTTCATATTCTTCTGATGTAAGGACACTAATTTGCTCACGATCGTCTATCACTAAATTGAGTAACGATCAATCAAATCGATAAATAATCATTTATCAGTATAAAATTATCATGAAATATACCACCGCTAAAATCTAGCAGATAATCAACAGCAAAACAATGCGCGACTAACGATGAAATAAGAGAACGAATGACAGACTCAATTTAAAAATGAATCATTACAAAGAAATAAATATTCTAATCTAAACGCAAAAATAAACAATCAATTGGTAACAATCAGCTGGAGCTTTGATCACAGTCAGTATATACACACATACGATCATTATAATCATCTCATCTCGTATTACCTAACTCAAACTAATCACAATTTTAGCCATGAGCAGATTTAGAGGTATTATGGATCCGCGATATTAACAATCTCTATTACGATGCTCGAATTTGGAACAGCGATATCGCTAACTTGATTAAGAAAGAAAGATACGAATCCAGGTCAGATGTGTGTATGTACGGCTGTATGCACGGATGTGACCAATATCAAATTAATGATAAAGACAACAGGTATATAATGAATAAAAAGAGATACACTGATAACAAGAAGGACTTAGCAAAGATGATCAATCTGATGGAAAGAATATGGTGAGAAAAAGAAGTGTTAATTCACGGGCGTAGAACACACAATAACGAGACAATTTTCATGTGGTGCTCAACTAGAATATCAACGACTCTGCGAGTATTGGAACAAATCATTAGTTTGATGATAGTTCCAAGAGGAACTCTGAATGAAACAGAGTGACTTATGAGGAAACCAACATGATTTCGAAACGAATCTCGTCGACGAGAGAATGTCATTGCTCTCAAAGTCTTTGCTATATCTCGGTGAACCAAGAACAACCAGTGATAATAGAACGCTTGATAGGAATGCATTTATAATCCGAACATTCATTGAACCAACTAAACTATAAGCTAAGAGAAATTGCGAACGATAGCGATAATTCGAATGCATACAATACGCATAAATAAAGCTGAACAATAAAGCAGTGATGAACGCACAGTACAATGCCGTATTCGCCTTACAGTCGTTTCTTATAAGATTCCTCAAGCCCAAACAGTTACCCAAATAATCGAGAGGTGTTTTTACTCAAACAGATCGAATCCACCTTTCGAATCGGGAATTGACACTGAACAAATTCCGTTAGGAACGTAATTCAATAAAAAGTTAAAGCTGACTAATGGACGTTCGATAGAACACTCAATGATATGGCAAAATAAGTAAGACGGTGGTCTCCGTTCCACAAGTGAAAAATACGACGAACGGCGAATAAAAAACAAAAACAATTGCGGCCAAGAGTAAGAAAATCGAACGAAGACGCATTATTGCACTAAAAAATATATGTCTATAATGAATGAAGATGCAATGAACGCGCTTTAAAATATCAAAACCATATATAAATAATTCGGAGAATTTATTACGCTGATATGTGTGAACCACGAACAATAAAAACAAACAAACAAACAATTACAATATTTTGTTCCGTTGCTAATTTAGCGTAACAACGGCAATGAAAGCGCATATAAATGATCAACGGGAATTTTTTGTTAGAATTTTGAGGAACATTTCAAAAAAAACGAAAGCAAAATGTGGTATATAATATAGTTACAAAATGAATAGAACTATGAGATATATCATTAGAATGAAGCAAAAAATGTTGAATGCTAACAGTGTTCAACAACGATCACTAATCGGTTAGAATTACACAT